TTGGGAGTATCATTAGCAAACCGAGGAAGGGTGGGTTGTAACAACCCACACCTAAAATTACACGTGCCGGTGTAAGAGTGGATTATGATTATTCCCCTTATTTGGGATGTGATTGATGGGTTGAAATTATTTCCCTCAAATGGGATGAAACTGATAATAGTTGTGAATTGAAAAAGTCAACCCACACAGCATATGTAGGAAGGCGGCCTAGCTGATCGGGTGGAGATCGGACGCCATGTTGCGCACATGGTGGTACTACTCTTGGTAACGCCTTTTTTTTTCGCATCACATGTCAAACCATATTGTTCTTGGGTAGATGGCCTAGCCGATCGGGCATGATCGGACTCCGCGCTAAAAATACGGTGGTATATCGGTGCTAATGATCTCCCAACCAAAAATATATATTAAGTTCGTATTGCGAAAATTATTATGTTTTAACTCGACATTTGGATATGGTTGATTGTGACTTGTTGTTTCTATGGTTTCCCCTTTTCTATATGGGAATTTAACTTTACATACTAGTACCATTCCATATGTACTAACGTCCCTTTTGCCGGGGGCGCTGCATCTTCAATGGATACAGGTGGTTCATCAGCGGGCAACTTTGGACCTCGTTAGCAGTTACTCCCTATTCAGCAGGTTTTGGTGAGCCCTACTCTATTCCGGGCCTGATATCATTTGATGTTGTACTTTGTGTTTTGAGGTATAGCTAGGGCCTTATTGCCGGCATTTTCATATTACTCTTCCGTTATACTTAGAGGCTCCATAGACAGGTTGTAGGTAGTGTTTGATGTGGGGAATTGAACTAAAAAGGTTGGTATTTGACAAGCATGCTTTTCATTATATATATAAACTTGTAATATTTTGGAAATTATGAATGGAACTGGTAATGGAAATGAAATGAGAGTTATTAATGAAATCTTTGCAGTGTTTGATTAATGGAGTGCATCTCCTCTATATTCATGGATGAGTTTGGTTAAAAGAAAATCTAACAGGCTTGCTCGGTCGGGTTCACTTGGTTGAGCGCGGGTCGCGCTCCTCGAGATCGGGGCGTGACACTTATCGCTCCTATAGCCACCCTTATCTCTCCTATAGCCACCCTTATCTCTCCTTATAATAGCCTCCCTTATCTCTCCTCCCAGATAATACCCCAATACACATAACAATAATGATATGCCACCCATATGTCCGCATAATATAAACAGTGAAATATCACCCTTATGTCCTCATAACAATAACTCAAATCACCCAACAATTTACACGGAACATTGTCACAACTACACAACACAATTAGCTCATATCACTAATTACCCAACGACCACAACCAATTCCAAAGATACAATAAAATCAATAAATTTCATAGCAAATAGCCTAAGGCTCCACACAACGTATATAAAAACTCAAAAACAACAACAGAGATGGAAAGGTAATTCAGCATAGGACAACGCCTTCTTCAATCAAAACTTTTGATAAATATATATATTAATGCCTCATTTTAAACTTATTAATTAATTATTTGTAGATAAGGAATCCATACTAAAATTATTTCCAAGAAATGTCAACCCAACCAACCACGACATTTCACATAAAAATTAAAGTGGCAATCACACCAAATTATCATATAAAAACAACTTCGGCAAGCAAGAAATGAGGCATGACAAAAAAAGGATTTAATAAGTTCTAATAATTTTCCAATTTAATACATAAGGGTGTCTACAAGTTTTAACGGGTATAATTTGCACATATAAATCAAGTACGTACTCGTCACCTCGCGTACATGGCTTTCAATCACACAATTTCCACATAAGACTCAATGCCTAAGGGGTAATTCTCCCACTCAAGGTTAGATAAGATACTTACCTTTTTGATGTTAGGCCGATATTTCAAAATAGCCTTCTTGCTTGAACTGACCTCCAGACAGCTCAAATCTATCCAAATTAATTGTATAACTTCATTAAAATTCGTCGGAAACAATTCCAGATAATGTAACGTCGATTTAAAATTTCACATTAAAAAGTCAACCAAAAGTCAATGCGGGGCCCGCCTTTCAAAACCCGACAACATTTTCACGAAATTTGAACACCCATTCTGATACAAGTTCAACCATACTAATTTTATCAAATTCTGATAACAACTCGACCTCCAAATCTTAAATTTCTATTTTTGAAACAATTTTGCAAAAATCCCAATTTCTTCCATTTAAATCCGAATTAAATGATAAATATAACCATGGATTTATGAAATATAATTACATTCGGATATAAGACACTTACCCAAGTTGAAGTCTTGAAGAAATCCTCAAAATCGCCCAAGAACCGTGCTCCAAAAATTCAAAACAAAATGAAGGAAATGACCATTTTTGGTCCTTAAGTTTGTGCCCAATAAAAACACTAATCTAGTCGCTAAAAGTCCAATTCGCGTAGCTAAAAGTGCCATATCTGGTCGCTAAAGGTGCGCACTAGAACTGTTTACACCAACAATTTATTTTTCACTAAAAAGACTCTAACTCCGTCATACGAACTCGGAATTCGACAATTCTTGTTCCTATGAGTCACAAATAATAATACGAACCTAGTTGTTCAATCGAAACTCAAGTGAGAGCTCATTTTCTCTTATCTGGTCGCTAAAGGTGCACACTAGAACTGTTTACACCAATAATTTATTTTTCACTAAAAAGACTCTAACTCCGTCATACGAACTCGTAATTCGACAATTCTTGTTCCTATGAGTCACAAATAATAATACGAACCTAGTTGTTTAATCGAAACTCAAGTGAGAGCTCATTTTCTCAATGTGATACCAACATCGTTCGTTAAACAATTAACTCATATTTCGCGCTAAAAACCCAATCGCGACTTGATGAAATTAGATCAAACATTCCAGATCATTCCTATAATTCATTATCAAACTTCCAGAAGTCTCGAAATCAAATTTCGATCTCTAGAACTAAAAATGGACCTTTGGATCATTATATGCTTATGCTCAAAATAATGACAAAACACCAAACACGTTAAAAACCCATCCGAGCCCCATGGGACCCCAACCAAATATACTAAAAAGTCCCAAAATACAACACGAACTTAGTCGAGGCTTCAAACCACGTCAAACGACGTGAAAACTGCGAATCGCGCATCGAATCGAATTATGAGTTTTTAAATCTTCCAACTTCTATAATTTGCGCCAAAACGTATCAAATCAATCCGGAATGACTTCAAATTTTGCACACGAGTCATAAATGACATAATGAATCTGTTCCAATTTCGGGAATCAAATTTTGACTCTGATATTAATAAAGTCACCTCCCGGTCAACCTTTCTAAAGATCTTCAATTTTTCAACTTTCGCCAAAATACATCGAATTGACATACGAACTTTCAAATCTAATTTCGGACATACACCTAAGTCCGAAATTACCATACGAAAATATTGGAATCATCAAAATTCCAATCCGGAGTCGTTTGCTCAAAAGTCAAAACTCCGGTCAACTTTTTTCATTTAAGCTTCAAAAGTAAGAATTGTTCTTTTATTTTAATTTCGAATCTTCCGAAAACCAAACTCGACCATACACGTACATTATAATACATATTATGAAGCTGCTCGATGCCTTAAGTCGTTGAATGGGACGCCAATTCACAAAATGACAAGTCGGATCGTTATAATATGTCCATCTAATTAAGTAAACACTTGATTAGGAAGGGTAATAAAATTTTATATATAGTATAGGAAGGTAAAAATTCCAATAGGAAAAGGGTTTATAAGTGATGCTATATAAAAGGTGATTAGGAAGATTTGCCCATTAAATCTCGAAGAAAATCACTTTGTGAAAGTGAGAGTGTAATACAAAACTAAGAGAGAAAATACTATTACAAGAAAATTATTTCTTGTTCTTCTACCTTTGAGTTGAGTTTTTTGAGAAAACTTTCAACACAATATTTTCATTCAATTTCTTTGCGGGTTTCGTTAATTAAATAGTTGATAGAAAGGATCGGTCTCTGTGTGCATAGAGTTTTCGTATTACAAAAACAAGAAAAAGAACAACATCAACGACCCAGTAAAATCCCACAAGTGAGATATGAGGAGGGTAGTACGTACGCATAACTTACTGCTACCCGAGGGAATAGAGAGGCTATTTCTGATAGACCCTCGGCTCAAGAAGACGAAAAGAGATAATATATCGGTACCATCAACAGAAACCATAGAAAGAATAACAATATCATAAGAACCTGGAAATAGATGAAAAGTAAAAACAATAATCAGTAAATAAGGCCCGGCACCTATATGCAATCCTACACTTTTTGTCTTCCGGAAGATACTGACATTTTCTTTTGAGTTATTGTTCTGTTAATGTAAAAGTGTTTTTACCTATTTAGTTGATTTACAACAACACGATTAATTATTAAGTTAAGTTGACTCACAACAACTTTTTCATATAAACATCGTGAAAAAAAAAGTTATAACCAATTAGAAATGTTCATTTTCTCTGTTAGCGAGGTATATATAATTTTAAAACTTCTCCTTCTACCTTCATGTAATGTAGCCAATTCATATTGAATACGCTAATAGGAAGTTGTTGGCTAAATGAATACTCGAAGTAAGATGAAGCTAATCAAAGAATGAAAAGCATGAGCCAAAAAGAAGAAGTGTATTCTAGAATTAATTACGATTTTCACAAGGAATGAATTTACAAGTGAAGGTGAGAGAAGTTGAACCAAATTTGTTCAAATGCGTTGATAATAAGGTGATGATACTCATCGGAGTTCAAAGAAAGATAGCAAGCAAGAAGATGTTCCAAGTCTTTTGATGCCTTAATATTGTTTTCCAGAATCATCTCCATCATTGATTCTCTAAAATCCTTTTGAGGATCAAATGAAGCTTTCACTATTGCAAAGCTCCCTGATGAAAAGCTCCTTCTTTTTGACTTTAAATTTTCTTTTTTGGAGACACGCTTTTTTGAGGATGACACGCTTTTTCTGCCATGCCCCTTAATTTTTGCTCTCAGTTTCACTCCAGTAGACGATTTTCTGGGAGCAGAATTTTCTCTTTTAGTGTTAATGCTTTCTTGACTTTGTTGCTTGCTATTATGGGATTTTGCTGGCTTTGTGAGAATTGGAGGAAGGTCAATTCTGAAATTATTTCATTCATATCTATGATTATATCAGTAGTTGAAGAACTGAAGTAAGAACTTGACCAGGAGGCAAGACCGTTGAAAGATTGAGAAGCAGAGTCGAATTCGGAAGATGGAGATTTAAGCAAGTCAAATTCCGGGAAGCTATCTGAATTATTAACAGAGTCAATAATATTCTTAGGAGAGGGCTTGTAAATGGTCATTCTTTTGCTTCTTCTCTTAGATGATCTTCTTGGTTGATCAGAGTTCAAAGTTTTGAGATTTGCAGCAGAATTGTCAACTCTAATAGACTCTGTAGCATAATAAAAGGATGATCTTGGTTGTGAAAATTGTGTTTTTTGCATACTAGAACAAGGGTTTTTCTTCTTGGAGGCTGAGGTTTTATGGGGTTTGGATTTGCCCATGTCTCTTATCTTGTAGAACCAAGCATTTGGTAGTATATCTGATAATCTAAATTTGTGATTTCCCATTAAAGAATACCTTTCTTTTTTTTCACTCAGAGATGGTTGGTTTAAGACTTACTTCTAAAGAATGAAAAGTTGTGTGAAATAAGCAGAAGATATATAATGTTGAAATAAGGTAGGGGTCCCTTATATATTGATAAAGCATGGCACGAAGGACAAGTGGAGCCAGCTTTTTATAAAAATGCCCTCTCTTTCATCATCACAAACTGCATACTTCTTTCTGCTGTGCACAAGCCAGTTATTTTTTGCCAGCTCTCTTGCAGTACGGGTATTTTACTTCGTTACACTTCAGAAACAATCACAAAATAAAAAAATACAAGAGTTTAAAGACCTCTGTATGCAAATGGTGAAAACAAATTACTCAAGCAGGCTACTTTAAAGGTAACAACCCCTAATTAGTAGAACTAATAACTTGGACCCTAATTAGTAGAACTAGTAACTTGGAGAATAGGCAAGTAGCCTTTTATAACAGGTTAAATTGCTTGATTTCTAAAATATTATATGTCAACAGGGGTGGAGCTATGTTATAACAGGTTGGCTTTTAAATGATTTGGGTGTGTCTTGGGGTCGAAATAACCGAGTCCTAGTCGAAATAGGACATGTTCAGACATGTTCACGTTTTGAGCGTCCAGGGCAGCGTGGGGCGTTGGCCCTAACGCTTAGCTTCCCAAGTTTCTGTTTTGTGCGCCACGGGCAGCGCCCCACGCTGCTTGTGGCCCTCAAATGTGCACTTTTGCATTTTCTTCCCGTTTTCGCTCCAATTCGCGCACTTTCGTCCCAAATTGCATGCGAATAATTCCTACACATAGAAATACTACAAATTAGCACAAATCATCATATTATACATCTGAAATCTACGAGACATGATCATAATGCAAGGCAATATACATCAAAATATGCATACATTAAGCCGAATATCAACACCCCACACTTAGACTCTTGCTCGTATTCTAGCAATGGAACTACATTAACACCCCAAAACATACGCATCACTATGAAAGAGCAATTCACAATTAATTCAATCAAACACTCTATCTTTTGACTATGTTGATACCGACAATTAAGCACGAACACACGAACTTCACATTCTTCCCGTTTTTAAACTAGCCCAAGTATATACAATGCTATTCAACTAACTCAAGAAACCTCTCCACAACCACCCTACCTCATACAACGACTCGTTACCACTAAGCATACTCAACTCACGCACTCACCCAACAAAAGAAGTGTACAACATCACCAATTCGTCATGAGACCAAGTGCCCTCACCACAAGCAAAAGAGTGAATACAAAATTATCCCAAACGTTCAAAGTTGTTGAACATAAATTGAGGATATCAAACAATTGAACAAAATCCACTCACTCTCACAAATAATTCATGTACATCCCGTAGTCGTACTATAAGCTTGCTCATAGTGCATATCTCTACTAATCTAAGCTAGCCAAATCTAGGATCAATTAGGACTTTAAGGTTGTAATGTAGGCTAAGGGACGAGTAAGATACATTTAGGATTAGTGACTAACCCTCCTAAGCACTTTAATACGCTACACTCGCAAATTGAGCACATCTTCTTTTCAACCAATTCACTTGTCATACACCATATATAACATAACCCTCTTTTCAATTAAGCACCTCTATATTCCCACTAGCCCGAATTTGAAAGATAGGTGTGTGTTTTTCTACATTATTTGAACTACTATTTTTTTTCTTTCTTCTTTTCTTTACTCCACACACTCCATACATTAATGTTCATCGGTTAGTGACCTTTTTTTTTCTTTTCACAAATTTAATGAACCTTAAGGGCCCTTCTATGGTTCCACTTGAAAGCCACTCCCCTATCTCTCAACTTAGCGACTAAGTGCCTTAAGAGGTAAATGCTCAACAAGCTCAAATTAAGAACAAAATAGTGATACAACTTGTAGTGTGGGTGCCAAAGAAAAGGTCTATAAGCTCAAAGGGGCTAGCAACGAAAAAATTTTATTTATGAGTGACAAGCACTCCTATGGTCAAGCAAGAAACGCCTACGTCATCTCCTAGACTAGCACAACTTAACGATTTCGCTTCGATTAACACACAGGGCAAGTTCTAGACTACACAAAATAGTACAAAATATCACCAATCCTTACACACACATTGCACTTAACTCAATCAAGACGGTTCTGCTCGACTCTCAAGTCAAGAAAGCAAGCAAGTTGAGAATTTTTAAGCAATAATGCACTAGGTGGCATACAAGTCAACCAACTGAGAAAAAAACATCAAAGAGTAGGCTACTTAATTTACTTGGGCATTACAACTCAAATCAAATATTCAGGAAGACTGAGCGCATGCCATAACTTAACGTGCCAACACCAAACATGTCAAAAGGTACCTCAGAGCACCTCAATTTTCTCCCTATCCTACTCCTAAAAAAAACAAAAATAAAAACACCCGGTTCGAGCTACACCCTTGGAAAAGAACCAGCGTCCAAAGAAAAACCAAGGGATACTACCTAACTATCCTAAAAGAACAAAGGAAAATATTTTTGGTATTTTTAAGCGGACTTTGATCCCTCAAAAAAATTATCCAATAGATCGATCGTCGGGAAAAGTACGAACTTCTTTTGAATTTTTATTTTTATTTTTTTACTAGCTAACTAGACTATGTTAGTTCTAAACTAATCTAATATATATATATATATGTATGTATAAAACAAAATATTAACAATAACTTTTATACAATTACAAGTCAAGAAGTATTCCCCCACCCTACACTTAAACAATGCATAGTCCCCGATGCATAACAAATTCAAAACAAGGTAAGGTAGAAAGAAAGAACTCCTTGCTAGTCGGAGTCCACCTCCTCAGGATGCCCACCAGCCCCGGCTCTGGGCTCATCATCATCTCCTAAGGGCACCAAAGCCATGGGCCCCGTAACGTCATCATCATCCGCATCTTCATCATCAGATCCCTTGTAAGCGTTCTCATCCTTAGACATATGGATGGGACTTCCCAGTGCTATGCCCAACATCTCCTTGGAGGAACTAGAGAAATCATTTCGCAAATGCATGCGCTCCTCATCCGACACCCCTAGCCTGCTCATTATCACATTGAGGGAACTATAAAGATACCTGTTAAAATTTTCGTCCCTCTCGTTCCTTGTCGCCTGGCTTAGCTTTGATGTGGACTCCAGTAGAGATGTGACGTCTAGCAATGCCTTGGGTGCCTCCACTACCTCATCATATCCAGGGTACTCCGGTGCCCTACGGGATAGCATGAACTGTGTCAGGAGGTTTCCAAAGAAAAACCTTTTGATCCTTCCCCCAAAGCGGGTGTGGGCCATCTCCCCAAGCATGAGCTCACCCATATTTATGGGTCACCCGGTCATCAGAAAGTAGATCACACACACTCGAGCGCGAGTGCATTCACTGTTATGCTCGACGGGCATCAATCTAGCCTGCACGAAGTTTTTCCATACCTTAGCCGTCTTGTTGAAGTCAAAACGGAGCATCTCAAGGTGGGAATTTCCCTTAGTCTGCGTCCACTTTGCATTAGAATCAACGCCATAAAGTGTGTGACGTATTGCCCGGTAGCGTGGACTTTTGACGAACTTTTGTAGCCTCCGTGGATTAGGGCTATTAACTCCCAAAAATGCACACAAGGATCTCCTGTCCAGTGGTATCTCTTTCCCTCGGACACATGATCGGAACAAGTCCGCATTCCAATTGGCGTATAGCTCGCGCACCATGCTCAGATTCGCAGGGCCCGGGCATTCCTTGAGTTTCTCCATCTTCATTTCTACCAACCTGGCAAGCACCTTCAGAAAGTTCTTTTCTAGGGCCTTCACATTAATCCCTATTTCGGAGACATATTTCCCATATGGCACAAAGTTATCATGCCATTTGATGGCGTCTTCTCGAACTTGATCCACCCGAGGCCGTGGTGGCCTTGTCGACCCGCTAACAACCTACTTTCTCTTAGCTTGCCAGGAAGAACCTTCACCTTGCTTGCGTTTTTTGGGAGGGGGAGTAGTGGCGGAGGACTTTCCCACCCCCTTTCCTTTGGCGACACTTTCACAAGCCATAACAACCTACACACGACAAACACAAAGGTGAGAATGAATCAAGAAATTCGTCCAAGGTTATCGTGAGAGGCGAAGGTGACCCCACACTTAAAATCGAAGGCTATGTATAATCTACTCACAATAGCGGTTCAACATACACTAATGTTTCATCACAAAACGATAGGTACTCAAGACTTCTCCATGCCACCATTCAAGTAGGTGAACATGGTCATAACTTAACCGTAGTGCAAGCAAGCAATGCTAGAGTCCAATTTACTACACTAATATAGTACATTAACTACTACTTACAAGAGTTTACAATAAGACACAATACCTCCAAAGACCCCACACTTCGCCCAACCACATATACAATAACACTCGGCTACTTAGAATTCACCAGTGTTCAATTCACACTCTTAGGCATTTTAGCAAACACCTTGTGGGCATCAATTTTGCTTTTCTTATTGCAACATTGGTGGAACAAGGTGGCCCTCCCAAATTGACATGAAGTAGAGAGAATTGTAGTTTACTACTTCAAATACAACTTCACAACCAATATTGGCAACTAATTTCGTGCACAATAAGGCCACCCACCATAAGAACAAAACATGTCAAAGAGACCTAGGTGATTGGGGGTTGTTGGACAAAGAAAACTAAAAATATACTAAGAAATTACAAATTACAAGGAAAAGGATAACAAGAAGAATATACCTTTGAGTCTTGAGATGAAGGTTAGCAACAAAATTTGAAGAATTTGAGAGAGAAGGATAGAGAGAGCAATGGCGAGAAAGAGAGACAGAGTGGGGGTCGTTTGAGAGTTACGGGAGAGGGTGGGTGGGGTTTTGGGTTAGAGTTATTTTAATTTAGGTGAGGTTTG